GAGTAAAGAGAGTTGCTAGCGACGGTCTAAAAAGTAACAAAAAAATATTTTTAACAAAATGTAAAAAAACAGAATTTACTTTATACTTTATTTTTATGTATTAATAACAACTTGGAATTTCAATAAAAAAACATTCATGTTTTTAAATGAATTTGGATTACAGGAAACTGTAAATGAAAAAAATATAAATAAAACTGTATTATGTCACTTTGTGCCCTATCAAGTATCACAATCAACCAAAGACTACCTATCCCCCCTGTCCCCCCCATCAATCACTTGTAGAAGCCTATGCCTCGTCTTCTTATTACTCTGACACGCACAAGATACCAACCCAAACAAATGTTTGGCTGAATATTCCTAAAAAAATCCCTAGAAATGTCAAACCAAACACACTTTCCACCTCACTCCATGTTCCTTAATCCACTTTTCCAGCTCAGATTCGGGCAAATAATACGCTTTTATGTAATTTTCCACATATTCGCGATGTGGGACCGGCCTTAACCCCGCAATTTTTTCAAATTTTGTCAAAAATTGAATAAAATCGAGTTGCATTAGAGCCCGTCCCCCATTTGAACATTTTTTCGCTTCGCTAAACCTGTATTAAAAAAATTACACCTAATTAAATGAAATTGTAATTAATTACCCTTGAACTAGAGTATGGGTGATTATATGGGCGATACTCTCCCATAAAGACGTGGAAACGTCAATGGAAACTGGGACTTTGTGAGCGACTTCCTCTAATCGCAATGTAAAAATCTGTACCTCCTGTAATTACAATTTTTCAGAAAATAATCAATTAATTATAATTATAATTACTCGGAGGATTAAATCAATGTAGGCGTTGTGTTGTGACATGACTTCTTTCACTTCCCAATTAATTTTCGACATGGAGATTAAAATTTGACGCAAATCGAAGGCTTGAGCCCCCACGGACATGTAAACAGGCTTTCGCAAGTCCACAGCACTCGAAATATTCTAAAAAAAATGATTCAAAAATTTGGGGTTTTTATCGGTCATGTTGTCAATTCTGAAAACACCAGAACCTATCTCTGTCACACTTGTTGGGTGTCTATTTCCCTATCTCTTTCTAATGACATTTGCTAACTCAACTCATATAACCTCAAAAATCAAGCATGGATCAAAACGTGATAAAAGTGGGTGATTTTGTGATAGTGCAACGTCAAGGATACACAAAACTGCACAAATTAAAGTCCCATGGGACTCTCTCGCTCGGGAGTTTCACCGTCGAGATGGATAACATTGTGGGGGAGAAATTCGGGGCTACATTCCAAATGAAGAACTTTCCAGGGAATCGGAAGCTTTATACACTTGAAAAAGTTGATGAAATGCCCGGAATTAAGTGTATTAATATTGAGAAAAGCGGTCTCGATAATAGGAATATAACCGACGATGGACAATCCCAAAATCTCACCACTGAAGACATCTCAAAACTTAAAAGTGAGGCCCTTGACTCGAATTCTATCGTCGAAAAACTAGTAAATAACTCGAAAACGTTCAATTCAAAGACTGAATACAGCCAGGAGAAATACATCAAGAAGAAAGAGAAAAAATATTTTGAGTATGTCCAAATTAGGCGCCCCACAATTCGACTGTTGGCAACAATGTTCTACCGACAAGACCCGACCAAAACCCTCGGAATCCGAATCGATGATTTATCCCAAATTATGACTTATTCAAATATACAGTCACAAGGTATCCATTTATTATACGATAGTGGCACTTCGGGGCTCCTCCCTGCCGCTTTGCTCCACCAATTAGGGGTCGAAAGCCCCGCCCATCTGATCCACCTACACCCCGGAAACGAATGTCAGAAAAGCGCCCTTGTTGCTATGAACTTCCCCCCGGAACAACTCAATCGTTGCATCAACGTCAATCTATATTCAGTTTTGCGTTGTTATTACCAACAAAAAGACACTTTTGGTGAACCCCCTGATAGTAAAAAAATGAAAATCGACGAAGAGGCGGAGCCGAAGAAACCCAATTGGCAGAAGGAGAACGAGAGGGCGTGTCAATTACTCAACAAGGGAGCGGATTCGCTCATTATCGTCTCCAAGGAACACCCAGTCTCTCTCGTGTCCCAATTGGCCAAGTTTCTGACCGGTGGGCGTTACCTTATCGTTTTTAACCAATCACGCGAACCCCTTCAAGACTTATACGTGCATCTTAAGGAGAAACTCGATTTTATTTGTATCAAAATCGTGACTAACTTCATGCGTAATTATCAAGTTTTGACCAATAGGACACATCCGGAAGTAAATATGACATCCGGTGGTTACATTTTAACCGCTTTTAAATTAAAATAAGCGACTCACCTGTGTGAAAAATTGTTGTAACATTATTTTATTCGTGGGCGGGATTAAGTACTCGAGAAATTCTTGTAAATATTCGTATTGTTTGGCGAGGAAAATGACACTTTCCACGCCCACGATACGTTCAGCCAATCCGTGTAAGTGTTCGCGTTTAGTGAGGTCCACCATTGGTGAGAGGGCGGGTTTTAGGATTTTGGGCGTGTTTTCATTGGGCGGCTCCTCTAATTCGGTGACTAAATTGTCGGCGATCTTTTTCAAGGTCAGGGTGAGCTCGGGCGAGTAAAGAGAGTTGCTAGCGACGGTCTAAAAAGCAACAAAAATATATTTTTAACAAAATGTAAAAAAATTGAATTATTTTCTACTGTAATTAGAAATTTTAATTTTCTGAAACATGAAATAAATAATATTGTTAGGTTTATACGTTTTTTGTTTTTTTTAATGCAGAAAATTGTAATGTTAAATTTTCTATACTTCAAATATCTTTTCTTACAGTAAAACTAGATGTATTTTTAAGTCATAAATCTTTTGTGAATAAACCTCAAATTCTAATTTTATTAGAAAATAAAATAAAAAACTTGTGTTTAATAATAAAAGTTGGAAAACCTATTTTTTGTAGGACTTGTAATTACAGGAAACTGTAATCACAAAATTCAATTTTGTTTTTTCACTACTTTGACTGTAAAACATCAAAAAAAAAAAATCTTTCAAGGATGATTTTACTCCAATTGCGGTAATTCCAAAGTGAATTTAAGAGATTTTTGAATTACAGGAAACTGTTTTACCAAATATTGACACGTTTTTTATTACGATTTAATTAATAAAATTAAGAAATCGCGGTAAATATTTTTTTAAATAACTTAATATTCGTAAATTTTCTATTGTAGTTCGATGTGAGATGTTTTTTAATACAGTAAACTGTAATGTTAAATTTTTTGTACTTTAAATATCTTTTCCTACAGTAAAACTAGATGTATTTTAAGTCATAAATCTTTTTTGAGTAAACCTCAAGTTCTAATTTTATTAGAAAATAAAAAACTTGTGTTTAATAATATGTCGTTAAACCTATTTTTTGTAAGACTTGTAATTACAGGAAACTGTAATTACAAAATTCAATTTTGTTTTTTCACTACTTTAACTGTAAAACATATCAAAAAAATCTTTCAATGATGATTTTACTCCAATTACGGTAATTCCAGAATGAATTTTAGATTTTTGAATTACAGAAAACTGTTTTACCAAATATTGACGCTCTAAAAAGTAACAAAAATATATTTTTAACAAAATGTAGAAAAATCGAATTTACTTTAATTTGAATTATAAAAAACTGTAATTAGAAATTTTCTAAAACGTAAAAATTGTCACATACATGAAATAAATAATATTGTTAGGTTTGTACGTCTTTTGATATGATTTAATTAATAAAATTAAGAAAGTGCGGTAAATATTTTTTAAAGTAACTTAATATTCCTAAATTTTCTATTGCAACTCGATTTGAGATGTTTTTTTAAATACAGAAAACTGTAATGTTAAATTTTCGGTGCTTTAAATATCTTTTACTACATGTTCTTCACTAAATAAATGTGTTTCATAGTAGTAGTAAGTCGGAAAACCTAAAAATTTGACAAGTATGACTTTTTCTAATTACAGGAAACTGTAATTACAAAATTCAATTTTGTTTTTTCACTACTTTGACTGTAAAACATATCAAAAAAAAATCTTTCAAGGATGATTTTACTCCAATTTCGGTCATTCCAAAGTAAATTTTCGATTTTTGAATTACAGGAAACTGTTTTAGCAAATATTGACACTCACCAAATCAGCGGCGAAAAACGCATGAACCGAATAGAGATAAAAATCAAACAATTGATTCATACAATTGATAATTTGAAACGCTATTGGTTTCAATAATCTCGACATTTGTAGATACTTTCCCATCTGTCTCAAAACCGATAATGTGGTATTAGTTAAAATGAGACAATTGATTTGTTTTTCTCTCTTTCTAGGACTTGTATTTTCCTCATCAACAAAATCCCTTCTCAACTCTTCTGGTTCATCATCACTCTCTTCAGAAAAATACCCAGACCCATCATTCTCCCCCACAAGAATATCCTCTTCGATAATAGTCTCATCAAGCCCCGAATCAAACGGAGTCCCACTTTCTGCATATCTCACGAAATAATTCCCAACAATACTACTCCCATCTTGCGAGTGATTCGACGAACAACACTCAGTGGAATTCGTCGAATAAGCGCCACCTGTGGACGGCATCCGCAACTTAAAATTCTTAAGAACCCCTCTTAAAGACTTGAATTCTTGCAATTGGAGCAGGGTGAAAGTGGGTTTCACCGGACATATTTCCCACATTTCATTCTCTAAAAAGATTTTTAATTCTTCCAAACGTTGGATGTGATAATTTTTGAAATAGTTGACACTTTGTTTGCGAATTGATTCTTGCAAATCATCCGATTTACTCAAACAGAATTCTTCGCCAACTTGGATAAGTCGATGGACGACTCCAAGGACTTGGACAAACTGGTCGAATTTATACGACGCCAAATCGGCGTTTAAGAGAAGCCCTGAGACTTTACGTTGCACATCATCCCAGATTTTCGTTAAATTGTGATCAAGTTTTTGCTTGTTTAAACTTGTCTCAACTTCATCGTCTTGATTATTATGCCATTTGATCAATTTGTGGTAACTTAGCACAATTTTGAACAAGACTTTACACAAACTCACCAAACATGGAATAAAAACGTCGCTTCCCACATTCTAAAATTCAAGAACAGTTGAAATTAGGCTTGATTTATAAAGAAAGAAGGTTGCCTTGTAACTTGGAGTGACCAAATAACGTTTTAAGCACGCTTTTGAGTCACTAGAAATGTAAGAAAACGTTAAATGGATCAGTTTTAAAGTTGAAAATTTTTTGGATTTTTGTCGAGATTTTGGTCAATTTTTGGTACCCGGAGCGGTTTATTGCCAATAACTCCGGACTTATTAGAGATAACCTCTTATATTTAGTACCGTTGGAAAGGAAATTTAATTTTCTAATATTTACAAAAAAGATCAGTCCTCGACAATAAATAGTTATCGAGAAAATTTCTGATAAAGTCAAAAATATCAAAAATTTAAATACGTCTATAATTGTTACGAATTTTGCAGTTTTCTTGACGCCAATCGATTCCCCGGAAAATTTTACATAGGTTTACGTCAAAATATTATATCATTGAGGTCTAGTTTTTTCGCAATTTACAAAATAAAAAAAAGTAAAAATTTGTTTTTAAAAACTAGTGTTTTTAAACATGTCTCAGATTCAATTTAAACCTATCGTATCCGATAGATTTTGACGCGCTAATTACGAATTTACCAACCACATTGGGCTATCTCCTTTAGTTTCGCCGTAATCGGCGTTTAAAAATTCAAATTTTTTTTGCGAGATATCGACTTGGCTTTGGCCTCAGTCGATAGATTTTCTTACGCTGATTACGATGGAGTTGGACTGATTGCTCTAAG